TCTGCTCCCCCCCCACCTCCTTTCCCTTCTCGGTTTGAATTTCTTCCCCCTGGCATTTCACTGGTTCACAGAGCGAGAGGCGAGACCCGCGCGGAGGGGAGAGAGGAAGGCTGCGACCGCCCTGCTGCTCCGAGCCCGGCCGGACTGGAGCCGAGAGGGGGTGAGGGGCCCCGACGAGGAAGCGGGAGGGGCTGGGCTTCCTGCCCTGCCTGCGGACAGCCCCTCCGAGAAGCCCACCGCCAGGCGGACGGCGCCTCTCCGCAGCCAGCCTTTGGAGCACCGCGAGCCGGGAGGCGAAGGATGGTGGTGGCCCGGCCAGCCGGCTGCGGGGCAGCGCTCTGGCTCTGGATTGTCGGCGGCGTCCTCTGCAGAGCCCGGACGGCGCCCGCCACGTCGCGTAAGTAGCCCTGCCGCGGGCTCGCTCCGCGCTGGAGCAGTGGCAGTGCCGCATTGATGCTCCCCGCCGGGGTACCAACTCCGGGGTGCAGCCGCAGGTCTCGGCCCGCGATGGGTGTGCGGGAATCCGCCGTCACGCACTTGCAGCCGCCGCAGCAGCGCAACTCCAGACCCCGCGCTCCGGGTTTGGGGCGGGGGGAGAGGGTTTTGACGCCGGGGATGTTTCTGGAAAGTTGTTTCTGGTTGCGGAGCTTGGCTGGCCACTGCTTGGTTAGGAGTGATGAGTGTAGGTGACAGCTTCTTAGGAGTTATTCTTCCACTTTGGTGTGTTTGTGTGGAAGGAATTCGGTGCATTTTGCTTAGGTAGGTCAGTGAAGGAAAAGTGAAACAAGGCAAAAATAAGTTTCTTGTTTTTATTTATGGTTTTACCTTAAATGAGCATGGCTTTGAGGGGGTGAAAAAGGAGTGTATTCTGAGCAGTTTGGGCACCTATGTAGTTTTCTTTACCGCTCCCCCCGACCCCACCCCACAGCAAGTTAATGACCGTTTAGTACTTGCTTATTAAAATGGAAGACAGTGAATCCAGAATTGTAACTGAAATTGCTGTAATTCTCTGGCAGTTGGGTGTAATGCAGTCTTGGCTTGGGACAGTCAGGGACAACATCATTAATGCAGTAATGAACAGATTTCTTAAAAGAGTTCTCAGAAAAAGTGGTGCTGTTCAGTATGTTTATCTGTGTGTTTTAGCTAGATTTTTCTAAAAAGGATTGCTCACTTTTTTTTTTTTAATGAGGTTACAAAGAGTAGAAAGAAATGGAAGGTTCCAGCTCGTCTTCTGCATTGCTTTAGAAGTGCACGTTGTGCATCTGGGGAGGAAATGCACGCGTGCTCCTTTGGTTCGGAAAGAGTTAAACACTAGAAAGATTGCCTATCGGAATCTTAGGGTAATAGTCATAAGCCATACTTGTTCTGAGAATGAATGAGTTGTTAAGGAATAATCATGGATGTTTTAGAGTTTGAAAATAAATGTTTTTCATTTAGGAAAAAAGTTTAGTGTTTTTCCAGAATTCAGACATGAAGTTGTACTACCTCTGTTTACAGATAAGGATGCAGGGATGCACTGAGGCATCTTTGTCCATCTGCTAATGCCCATGTTCTTATTCCAGGGTGTAAATGTTAATAAAAATAAACACTGGAAAAGGACTTTGTAAGTTGTATTAAAAAATCTACTAAATAACAGTATCATATGATGAATCGGTATTACTGGTTTGACATGTTTTCCCAAGTACAGGATTTGCTTCTCTTTCCTGGCATTTAAAGATGGAGAAGCCTAAATGGTCATCTAAGTTTGCAGTGAACTTGAAAAAAATGTTTGTAGCTTTTTCACAGAACAGATTAAACCTCAAAAAGTGATGCATTTTTAATGTTTAATGTCAATTTTATAGATTTAAACACAGGGCAGATATAATGCTTGGTATTAATATTTACATAAATATGTAACTATAGCCTGAAAGAACTATTCTGGTGAAATTTCAGTTTCCACTTCAAGGTCTGGTTATATAGAAATAATTGCCACTTTTCTCAGAAAATAATTTCATTATAAACTGAATTTATTATATTCATGGATTGAAGACCCCGGCTTCCAAGGTTTTTCCTGGGTTCTGTAGTTCATCTTTCTGCTTACTTTAATTATAATGAATCGATCTGAAAAATTCGCCACATGTCAAGAATGGCACATGTGCAGCCATTGGCTTAATATATTTTGAGAATGGAAAAGTTGTTTCCAAAATATATTCTTAGTTGTTATAACTTAGAATTTGGTGCCAGGGAAGAGGAGAGACCATGACTTTTAGGATACTTAATAGTTATGTTTGATTTTTAAGATTGATTTATTTACCTATCTCTTATTCTTCATAGTTTAAAAACATATAATGGCTTAATTAATATGACTTTTTATTTCATTTGAATCTAAATTTATGACCAAAACTCAAAGTTACTCCCTGCCTAGAAATGAATTAAATAATAAGAATGATATAAATTTTACCAATTAGAGTGAGCTTCATGTATGCAGTACTTTAAATTTATATTTTTTACACTTAATGAAAAAAATTTATTTGCATAACATACAACTTCGAAGAAGTTTGATCATTAGATTCTTAATACTACAAACATCCAAAGGGGGAAAAATGGTAACTCCATGAATCTAAGATAATGAACAACTCAACCAGGAGAGGTCATCACAAGACAAAAAGTAGCATGAAAATCTAAAAGTAATGCTTTTATTTGCTGTACATTTTAAAAGTATGATGACTATGCTAAAGCTTTCTGTCCCCAAATAACTTTTTACTATGATGGCCATTTTTAGAAGATACAGTTAATATTTGTTAATTTGATAACAGTACTATTTCAAATATATATTTGCTTCTGGCTTCTCTTCTTCTCTCTTATTGAAATGGATATAAAAATGCTGTTCCTGTTAATACCATATATTTTGTAACTAAACTAAAATAAACTTTAAAGAAGCTTATCGCTAGGATTAAGTAGAAATGGGATTTCATTTCTTGGCGGATAGTGGAAATGAGCTGCTACTGAGCTGATGGAGGCATGTAACCTCCCTCCTTATGAACGTACACATACGGGGCACAGATGTAAAGTTTAAGCAGAGTGAGTTCTACTTTTAGGAAGTTATATTTATTTGAAAGACCCTGACAATGCAGTGCTAAATGATGAGGCATTTGAGCTAGCATTTAGTGACTTTGATGTATTCTTAAAGTATCCTAAATTTTGGCTTAAATAATGCTTTCTGACAAAAGTCATTTTACCTTTCTGTGGGTAGCCATTAAACTATAATTTCACTGACTGTCATATTTGAGAAATGTGTTTTCAATTGATCAAATACTTTCTAACAAATGTGTTTTTACATATATAAACACAAATGTATGTAAATATGTACACATACATATATGGTGAAATCCTTTAAATACATGGTATATATAATGTATAGAGACATAATATTATATATATACACATAATATAGATATATACTGTGTATTTATTGTGTGTAAAATATGTGCATATTCATATACTTTCTAATATGTCCTTCAAGGGGTTTAACTTACAAGTTTACGGATAGATCTTTTCCAGTGCAATTATTTCAAGTACCTAAATCAACAATATCAAAGCAATTATATTTGTCTATTTTCTCTCCCTTTAATTCTTATACCACCCTTAAAAGCGTATCTTTCAAATAGTTGAATTAAATGTAAAACATGTAAGTAAATACAGAAACAAATACTATTAGTTTATACTGAGCTGGAACATAATAATGAATTTGTCTTAATAAAATAAATTTAATTTAAAAATTGCTTTAGGCCAGCAAAATTCACTGACTGATAAGAGGTAGTACATTATTTACTTAATCCAAACTAGCAACAGAAAATTATTATTTACTCATTAGAGACAAACATATAATCATGATCTCATTGTAGGCATTAATATTCTGGAAACAGGGGTCTTTGTCTAAGTTTTTTTCTTTAACATCGATATATGGAAAAAATGAGTATGAAAAAGGAATCCACAAAGCCATATAGTTTTTATTAAGTTTATACAGATATCAGTATATAACATCATTTTGAGATAAGTAACATCAAAGTTGTTTGACGTTCATCATAAATATTTAAAAATCACATTTCTAATGTTTTTTCTATTCTAATTGGCAGGGCATTTTGTTATATAACTTTTTTTTTGAGATTTTTAAATCACTTCTCTTAATTATAAATTCTTCCAGAGAAAATCTTAATAAGTCTTTAAAAGTGAACTGGTAAGTCTTCTTGTTTGATGTATCCTTTTCATGACTGAAACATGAAAAGAATTCACTGTACCTCTCCCTCTCCTTGGCTTGCTTCTCTTTTTTAAAGTAGATTTTATTTGTTGTAAGTGTTGCACAGAATAAGGAGAGATTCTAGGTTCAGAAATTCTTACTTCAAGTCCAGTGGGTGATTATCTTAAACTATTAAACATACCGAGAACCATCTTCTGCATGTTGTCTGCATAGTGATTGGTTTTAATAGGATGAAGAAATAAATGTGTACTTTAAAAAATTTCCCATATCTAATTGATTTGCCAAGTGCTTTATTTTATCATTTACTGCTATTTACTAAGTTAAACAATAGAGAACATAATAATTTAAACTCGAAAGTGCAGTGTCAGGGAAATAAAGTGAATGCTGTGTTGATATCTATATCAGTATCTGAAACAGTTACCAGTGTTTCTAGGAATACGTATTTTAAGATAAGTAACTTATGGAAAGATAAGATATATTTCTGTAATCATCTAATATTTGGCCATTGGAAAAAATTACGTGCTGATTTTTGCCATTTTGATATGTAAGAATAGTGATAAATGATCTGGATAGAGGCTTTGACTTGCAAATGAGAAACTTAAAAATGAAGATGATGCAACAGAGTGATCAGTTAAAACATTGGCTCGTCCCATCTCCTGGGATCTGTAGAACCTGTTCTAGGTCTGACCAACGAAAGATGTTATCAGGTTCTGGAGGTGCCACCTCTTTTTCCATCCTAATGTTTTCTTTTATGTGGATAAAACTGCACTTGTAACATTCTTAGCCTCTCTCTCTGCAGTTCACTGCTTCATCCCATGTTAGGGGGAGTGACTTACCTGTTGGGTGACTTTGGGAGGAGGACCTAGTACCGCTGAGCCCCTCCAGGGTCTTCCTTCCAGGCTGCCTGCAGAAAGTGTAGATTCCACTGAAAGACATACAAGAGTGGGCTGTGGCTCTGTGATGATACGAGGAGCCTTATGATGTTCGATTCTTCCTTTGGCTGGAAAGTCTGCGTAATTTCAGAATTAAGGTGAATGCATCCCACTGTTGCCACCCAGTTAAGCCCTATTCCTCTGTATCGGCAATTATTTTGTAAAGGGTGATATTTGCTTTCCATCTGTGACTTCTTTTCTGATCGAGAACTCGCTAGAGAAAAGAGT